CTGCTCTGGTATCCCTATAGGGTGAGGTCTGGCTACCTCTGGTATTCCACAGTGTGACTGTGGAAAGGTGACTTTCAAAAATTAGACCCCAGCAGGATTGCTCTATTAATGCTGATGTTGGGTGGGAGGTGTCTCCACTTGGGTTCACATACCTCAACAGTTCCCAAGTCTACACCCATTGTGCAGAGACCCTAGCCTCTTCCTGCTGCTGAGATATACTTTTTCAGAGCCAGGCCAGACACCTTCCCCTCTGTGTCTTTCTGCACTGTCATTGGATTCACAGATACAGCATAGCTACACTGCCACCATCTATGCAATGCCTAGTCCTAGCCAAGAAGTGCAGACATTCTGGTCTCTACAGGGGTCAAACGTCTAGACCACTAGGTAAGTGGAGATGAGTAGACTGGAAGTTCAAGATGGCAGGGAAAATATTTGTTCAAACTTCCTGCCAGACAAGGGAATTTCTAGGCTCACAGCAGGGACTCTTTGGAGAAGGAGTCCCAGCTTCCAGCAAGTCACTCCAGTGGGATGAGAGAAGAGAACCTAAGTTCACCACTCACTAGTAGAGATCCCATAGCAAGGAAGCAACTCTCTTGGGTGAGGAGACAGACACACAGCCTCTTTGGGATCAGTTCTGTACCTGACATTTGTTTCATTGGAGTCACAGCTTTCCTCAGCAGAAAAAGATGTGCAATTATCTATCTCTTCTCTCAGCTCAGCTCCCACCCTTCAGTTTTGTTAGGTTCTTTCTGGTCATTATCTCCCTAGAGTGGAGCTTTTGTCAAAAGCTAGATCCAGTCAGCCATCATCCCCCATTCCCCCAAAAACTGGAGTTAGGGAAAATAGCCAACCTGAGGATTTAGCAAAAGCCAAGACACGTTGAAACAAAATGAACAGATAAACAAACAAAAAAGCTATCAGACATACAAGCACACAGATGAAGACAATCAGAAACAAACAAACAGATAAAAAAGATAATAATAAAAGAAAAAAACCTCTAATAGCCTGATGTAAGCACTCTCAGCAACCATAAGAAGGGAAGAAGAGGAAAAGAGAAAAAAATAGTAACTCCTATAAGAAAAGGAAAAAAACGCAAAAAAGCACATGAACTAGCTAAGAAAAAAGAAAGAAAAAGAGAAAAATGGCACCAATAACAAAAATATTCTTATTATATGAAAACATGAGTATATATATGCTGTAGGGATCAACTTTAGTAGGAAAAATATTTGTGTTGCAATATGCTTTCTGCACACCAGGGGGAACCATGAGTGGTTCCCAGGCTTATACCTGATTCATGGTTTACACTGTTTTGTTGGTTGTTGCCTGGCTACCGGGTTGGGGCTTGGACCCCTCTGAGTTGTTGATTCTACCAATTTAAAAAAAGAAAAAATCTTCACAGGCAAGTTTCACAAGTTCTCCCTGCAACAGTTCCTGTGAAGTGCAGGGCATCCTGGATCTGCTTTGGGTGCAGGATGGCTGCCTACAAGTGAGACTCAAATCACTGCACCTGGCCCATGTGGAAAGGTACCTGTGACAGTCGCCATTTTGGAAATTTCCAAATACCTCTGCTTCCTGACTGAGATCCTTCCCGCCTGAGTATCTCTCCTGCAGCCTAGCCCAGCTGTGCCACTTCAGACAGCACCCCCATCTGACTCCAAATTCCACTCAGGAGGCCACAGTTCACCAATTTTTTCCACACAACACTTAGTTTTCCTATGAACTAGGAATTTTAATCCTCCATGGGGGAGGGGCTGTTTACCATGGCCACCGCCAGCCACTTCAGCAGCAGAACAGAAATTTTTCTGGCAGTCTCTGCAGCTCTGGATTACACTTCGAGTCCAGCAATCTGCCACTTTGCTGCACACCCCAAACTGCCTGTCTACACCAATATTTCCCACTGGGAATGATCTAGCCTACTCACTCTCACCTGTTGTTCCAGGAGAGCTAAGCTAAATGTCTATCCCATCTGCCATCATACTTCACCTCCCCACTGTTATTCTTACTATTTTTTAAAATGTTTTCATCCTTGCTATCTCAGAGGACATGGTATCCTATCTTCTACGTAAGGCTCTACAATATTCTTAAATTCCATCTCCTTCTACTTCTTCAAAGAACTAGCTTTACCAATTAATCCCTCTTTTTCCTACGTTTTCAACCTATTCCTTTTTACTGGCTTCTTGACTCAGAATTCTACCTAAGTATCTTCTCATTCCTAAAGAGAAAGAACTATTCTGACCCCTTTCTAACTATCACCCTTTTTCCACTTGGTTGGAACCTTCTTAAAAGTAATTGGTTTTTATATTAGCACTTCTTCATCTCTCTTCACCCTTCACCCCACTGTGATCTAATTTGCACACCATTACTATTGTTCTTACTGAGGTTACTGGTGACCTTAGACCTGCCAAATCTAAGAATCACTTTTTAATCTTCACTTTTTAGCCTCTCTACTGCATTTGACACCATTGACCTCTTTTTTTTAAAACCCTTTATGTAGTTCTGACTTTAATCCAATTATTCCCTTCTTGCTTTCTTTCTGCCTTTTGGGTTTCTTTTTCACAGGCTGACTCCTATAATAGCTCTCCTTCCTCTGCTTCACTTTTAAAGGTCATTGCTTTCTGTTTTTTCTTTCTTTCTTTCTTTCTTTATTTTATTGAATGGTAACTATGTACATTAATGCATTTCTGGGGTACAGTGTGGTGTTTTCACATACAATTTGAAACATTTCATCAAACTGATTAACATAGCCTTCATATCATTTACCTAGTTATTGTGCCAAAACGTTCATATTCTACTCTTAGAAAGGTTCACTTGTACCCTTGTAAGATAAACCACAGAAGTGGTTTATCCCCCTCCCTCCACCCATTCCCCCCTCCCTTCTCCCTCACCCCTCTCCATATTCTTAGGCTGTTATTAGGTTACAGCTTTCATATAAAAGGTATAAATTAATTTCATAATGGCGGTGTATACATTGGATACTTTTTCTTTCATTCTTGTGATACTTTGCTCAAAAGAACATTTTCCAGCTCCATCCATGTGAACATGAAGGACGGAAAGTCTCCATCTTTCTTTATGGCTGCATAGGGAACACTTCTACACTGCTGGTGGGAATGTAAACTAATACATTCCTTTTGGAAAGACATCTGGAGAACACTTAGAGAACTAAAAATAGACCTGCCATTTGACCCTGCAATTCCTTTGTTGGGTATATTCCCAGATGACCAAAAATCGCATTACAACAAAGATATTTGTATCAGAATGTTTATTGCAGCCCAATTCGTAATTGCCAGGTCATGGAAGAAGCCCAATTGCTTTGTATTTTTGGTCTCTGCCTGTACAGTATCACCTATGCACACAAGTTTTTTCTATTACCTCTTTTCAGGTAGTGGTTAAATATTTACCTTGGCTTAAATCTTTCCCTCTCCTGAACTCCAAATCTACATTTCTAATTGTCCACTGGATGCCCCTCAAGTACCTTAGACTCACCATGGCCAACACTGAAATCTTCTTACCTACCCCCATTACTACCTAAATTTTGCTTCTTGTTTGTTTTCATTGCTCAAATTAGTGGTACTGTCATTGACCTAGTTACTAAGCTACACATTTCAGAGTCATTCTTGTCTCTTCCATCTACTTTATCCCATATTTATTCTCTCACTGTGTACTGTTATATTGTCATACTTAACATCCCTCTTCTTTTCAGCCCCACTGCTACTGCCTTACTTTAGGCACTTAATTGCCTTTCACAATTATGTCCTCCCAATCTATTCTCTTTATTGCCACCACAGCTATCTTTCAAAAATACACACCTGATCATGACACTTTACTGCTTTAAGTTCTCTATTGCCACCAGATAAAATGTACACTTGGTCAGTCTGACTCTTGTTCTCCTGGCTTGCTCTGTCTCTTTTCATTCTTTCACTCCCAACCTAGCCTTAGCCATTACCAAGCTACTTAAGCATTCCTATCCTACACCATGCCTTCTTGCCTGTGTACATGCTGCCATGTTGTCCCCCTGTCTGAGAAGTCCTTTCCTCCTGGTCAGTTTGGCAAACTAACATTAGTTGTCTCCTTCTCTCTAATTACCTTTTGTGCCTTTGTTGTACATGATGGGGATTTACACTGTTTTATTTATTATTGGTTTACAGTCATTCATTTAAATGTTTGTCTCCCTTGTATTCCCAGTGTACATTATAGTGCCTCTTGTACAGTCACTTAGCAATTTTTGGCTAGGTGTTTGGATGAATGAATGAATTAATTAATCAATGTCCTTTGTCTTCACTTGAGGAAATTTTCCTCTTTCTTCAAGATTCAAGCTTCTCTGCCTTCTTCAAAAGCATATAGTGACTACACATTACATTACCTTATAGCAGTATTTTTTTCCACTATATTTGAATAACTTATTTGGTTTTATTCATTCTGAATAGTCTGAGTTCCTCAAAGACAAACTGAGTTTCATCTTTGTATCTTTAATATCTAGCACATAACTGGCACATAGGGGTACTCAATCAAGTGTTAGAATGAATATCTACCTTTGCCAAAATTGCCCAAGTTGAATAACTGTGCAGACTTTTATATCATTCTGATTGTACAAAAATGGACCTAAGATGGGCAACTCCTTCATCTTAAGTAGAAATAATTTGTGTTAGTAAGATTAAATTGCTAGAGGAGATTGTTGTCAGATCTAGGCCTGGAATGAGGAGAGCTGTCTTGTGTTTTTGAGCAAGAATTTAGAACTCCCCTTATTCTTCTTTTTACCCTGAATCATGGATTCATTTTAATTTTCTTTTCCTGTTAAGTAAGCTCTCCTTATTCTCTTGTACTTCATTATTTTCTTTTCTATTTCCCATAAGGAATATAGATATTATGAGAAGCCCAATATGACCAAGGTGTTTTTACCATAGGGATAGTACTTGACAACTCTTTATTAACCCAGCATGCTGTGTGAAGGTTGCTCATGGTATTTTATGCCTCTTATTTTCAAGGCAGTGATGGCATAAAAGGCCAATGTCTTAGTTCATTGTTCTGATGGTTGGGACTGTACAGCACAAGTCTGCTCCTTGGCCAGCATCCTCCTAGATCCATTTTATTGGACAAAGGACTTATGGTAAGAGAGCAAGTGACTGTGTTTTACTTTGTGTGAATGAAAAAATATTTAAAAAATTAAAATGAACTGTCAGGCAATTTTTATTTTTACCAGAATGAGGTCTAAATCTACAAAAATAGCAGTTTTTCAATTTAGTGTCTTTCCATTAAATGCAGTGTTTATGTTCTATATACTTTCTGTTGTACATTCAACATATTTCCTACCTATCAAAAGTAAGTTGTGTGTAAGAGGCTTCTGTAAGGTATGGGAAGAGCTCAAAAAGCTTGCAAAGATAAAAGTATGATTTTTAAATAGGTTGTCTGATGGGTACATCCTCTTTACCACACTAGTTATTTGAATATCAAACTCACGTTTTTTTGTTTTTTGTTTTTTGTTTTTTTTTTTTTTTTTGCCTTGAATCTAAGGCTTCTTAGTTGATCTTACTAAGACATAGAACTCATAGTGACTTATCCTCATTTCTTTGGAAATGGTTTTGTTATTGGTATAAACCAAAATTTTGCCTTTAGATTCCTGTTTATCAAAGGTTGAATTTAATATGCTTATCAGTATTACATTTATTTATGGCTCACTGGCTTGTCATACCAAAAGAAATGTGACACTAGATACAAATCCAGAATAATTTCTCCTGAGAGCACCTGAAATTTGAAGGCAGCCTTTATAGATCTGTAAATGAAATCCAAGTTACTCACTTAGCTATCATTTAGGAAAATAATTTTATTTTATGACCATTTCAACTAAGTGTTCCAATATTCTCATGTGCTGATTAATTTATTTTATGATTTTTAGTAAGGCAAACTATGCTTTTTATATAAAAATGAAGATCCTGATAGAGAAAGAATGGATATCCATGGGCCACAAGTTTTCCCAAAGGTAAAAATATCCTTATTTTGAAGGAGGAGAGTTCATTAGAATGAGTTTTATTAAAACTCAAGTATGTTCTTGTGTAGGGAGGAATAGTAAGTGTCATTCCAGACACCATGCTAGGGCACTGAGACTACAAAAGTAACCAAAATATCATCTTTTGCCTTCAAGGATTACAATTAATTATATCATATTGTTTAATATTTCAGGGAAAAATTCATCACAGGCCACATAGGGAAAAGTACTTAAATTTCCATGAAGAAGTTAGGATAGGCTTCCGGGAGTAGGTAGAATGTAAGTATAATATTTGAAAGTAAATAGGAGTTTGATAGGGAGAACAGAAAAATGGAGATGACATTTAGATATAAGGACTAGTATTTAAGACAAGTGCACCTCTTAAACTTTTTTTTTTTTTTTTGAGACAGAGCCTCAAGCTGTCCCCCTGGGTAGAGAGCCATGGCTTCAGTCCTCACAGCAATCTCCAACTCCTGGGCTCAAGCGAGTCTCCTGCCTCAGCCTCCCAAGTAGCAGGGACCACAGGCACCCGCCACAACGCCCGGCTATTTTTTGGTTGCAGCCATTATTGTTGTTTGGCGGGCCTGGGCTGGGGATTCGAACCTGCCACCTTAGGTGTATGTGGCTGGTGCCTTAGCCACTTGAGCCACAGGCGCCGAGCCACCTTTTAAACTTTTGTAAGAAAAAGAGACAGGTGGAGATTTCTGTTTTTGTACTAAGGGGTGGGGACAAAGGCGTACATTTATTATCTGCTATAAACCAGTCTCACTAAGGCTTTACCTATGTTTATCAGAACTATTAAAAGATATTTGCCACCTAACAATGTGTTGTACACTATATCAGACACTAAGGTGGTCCCAATGGCAAGTAAAATGTGTGACAATTTTTACCATGTTATAATTCAGGTCTTTTTCCCCCTCATTAATATGAATCCATTTAATTTTACATGATTGCCCATCTCTAGCCATTTGGATCCATCCATCATTCTTTCTTCATCAGGAAATACCAGAGTACTCAATATGTCAAGTATTGAGAAGACTGAGTTGAATCAGATATGATCCCTGTCTCTTATTTTAAAGAAAAGGAAATCAGAAATGACAATATAGTATGATAAGTACTAAGACAAAGGAAAACATAAATAAAGGAATCTTACTCATTCTAGGACAAAGAAGGTTTCATGGAATAGGTGACATTTTAATTGAGATTTAAAGTAGAACTTATTTAGAAAGGGGGGAAGGCATTTCAAGACTGATAGGCATTAAACAGGATGACTTTGAACAGTGTTATATATGATAATAAGATCTGTATTTTAGAAACATCCCTCTTGCAGCAATGTGGAAGACTGAAATCGAAGGCAACGGAATGAATTAGAAAGCTATCAGAATTAATAAAGACCTGAAAAAAAGGCAGTGAAAATGGTATAGGTACAAGGGTATTCGGGATGTACAACTGACAGAACCAGGAGATAAGAAAGAAAGTCTAGAAGAACTTGTAAGTTTCTGTCTTAGTTAGATGGGTTTATTGAGATAAAGAGTACTGGATAGTATAGGGCAGATTTGCAGGGAAAAGTAGTTTCTGTTTGGGATTTATTTGGTTTTAGACATCCAAAAGATGTCCAGTAGGGAAACTATTTAGTACTAATCTGGAACTTATCAGTTCTGAATTAAACAGAGCTAGAGCTTTTAGTGTTATCTGCATGCAAGTGGTAGTTTAAACCATGGGTTCAGATAAGATAACCCCCAAAATTGTATGTAGAGGAAAAAGAGCCAATGTACAGGACAGAGCCATGTATAACACTGACACCTGAAATTTTAGTGAAGAAAGGACTACATGAAGGTGGTGATCACAGAGTGGTTAGTGAGGTAAGAGTAAATCTAAGGATAGGAAAAGCAAAAAATAAGGGGCAAAAATCTCAAGTGAGTAGTCAGAAGTGTCATATGCTTCAGTATATCCTAATAATCAATTTTGACAATATGCAGATTTTAATGATCCTTAGTAATAACTGGCTGAGTAAAGTAGTGGAGGCAGAAGCGAAATGGCATGAATGGAGGCATGAGTGAGAGGTGAGGAAGTGGAATTTGAATATATCTATCTCTTCCTAAGACTTTTGGATGTGAAAGGGGTAGAAGAGAAGGGGTGATATTCCCAGATAGGGTTAGGGGTTTCAGGAAGAGTAGTATTTCAAGATATTAAAGATTTAAGCAATTTTTTGTGCTGAGGGGAAATATTAAGTACGATAAGGTTGAAGATATAAAAGAGACTGAGTTTTTGATAGGGTAAGTCTTATGAACAGGCAGGAAAAGGTAAAAGCTTCAATTTAGTTGAAGAGATTAGCTTGTACTGTAAGTTAGAACACCTCTTCTATGGAAACTTGGATAGAAAGACAAGCAGAGAAGGAACTAAAGTGTTTCTCAGAGGCAGAAATTAGATAATTTTTTACTTGATGGCCTTGATCATTTCAGTGACACTGTAGACCGGGGTGTGCAACCCACAGCCTGCAAGCCACATGTGGCCCAGGATGGCTGTGAATGCAGCCCAATACAAAATCATGAAATTACTAGAAACATAATGAGAGTTTTTGGTGGAACTTGATTGCATGGTTCTTGATTGTGAACTTTGTAGACAATGTTCTGTTATGATGTCAGGTGAAATAAATATACCTATGCTCTCGCTCTTTGTACGCATCTGTGGCTTCAGTTTTATGGTGGTGCTGAGCTTCTAGTAAGTTATCTTCCAAGTGCAGACAGTCAAATTGACACTATCAGATGTTGCATATGCTCATGATGACTTGCCAAGGCATCAGTTATCAATAATACTTCAACCTACCATGGCAACATTAGGTGTTTAGTGTTATTTAGAAATCAGGTAAGCATGGTGGTACCTTACATATCACCTGACATGCCTTACCATTGGCCTTCTGCCTTGCCATGCATTGGCTGCCAAGATGCAGAAGGGCCCAAACCTTGCTTTCTATTTTTATGCCAATTTAAATAATAAAAGTAAATATACTCCCTTATTATTATTTTTTAAATTCCATCAACGTCTCTAAAGAAAACAGAACACCCCCCCCCAATAAAAAAAGAAAACGAAGGAAGATTGCTCAACAAAAGAGTAAACAGATGACTACTTGTATGTCAAGGCAAATAATAAAGTGTTATGCTTAATTCATAGGGAATTTATGAATATTTTTAAAGACTACAATTTGAAAAAGCATTATGCAAAAATATACTGCCAAATTTAATATGACTGTGTTATAAGGACAAAACAGTAAAACTGAAAAGTCTGTCTGCTCAATAAAATTTTGTTTTAAAAGTTACAGCTGAGATCAATTCCATTGTAAAAGCTAGTTACGTGGTAGCATATTTCTTTCTTTCTTTCTTTTGAGACCGAGTCTCACTTTGTCACCCTCAGTAGAGTGCCATGGTGTTATACCTCACAGCAACCTCCAACTCTTGGGTGTAAGTGATCTTCTTGCCTCAGCCTCCCGAGTAGCTGGGAATACAGGCACCCACCACAACGCCCAGCTATTTTTAGAGATGGGGTCTGGCTCTTACTCAGGGTGGTCTCAAATTCCAGAGTTCAATCAATCCACCTGCCTTGGCCTCCCAGA